CTATTTGTAGGGACTCATTTTGTGAACTCTTTAGAAGGAGCGTATCCGTAACTTAGAAGTGAACTTTTGCAGCCTCACTACTTGAGGCGTCATTCAACATTTAGGGGTTTCTTCTTCCACAGACAGGACGATACAACCTCCATAGGCAATCCTTGCATGACCGATACAAGCCAAGATGCGAGTTCCAGGAACTAGTTGATCAGAAGGAGAAGCGATCGCTGGAACAAGGTGTTTATTCGCCTGACGTTTCGGGTTCTCACTTGAATCCATCAACAGAGACAGTAGCAGAAAAGGGTAACTCGTGCACAGGAAGTTGCAGTATTTATAGGATGCAGTCGCTATGCTATAGGTATGCGGTAGCATAGCGGCTGCATCTTATAAATACTGCAACTTCCTGTGCACGAGTCACCCTTTTCTGCTACTGTCTCTGATGTTGGATTCAAGTGAGAATCCAAAACGTCAGGCAAATAAAGACCTTGCTCCAGCGATCGGTTCTTCTCCTTCTGATCAATCCTTGCATGCTTACATATCCTCATATGTTCTTGTAGAGTAGGTTACAGTGATCAGATGACAGGATATCTCCGCATAGACGCCGGAAAACTCTTTTCTGCTTGGGTGTCAAGGAGCGAACCAAAAACCGTCTTTAGCTCCATTTTGTCAAACAGAGCCGATGCCATTTATCATGTGTACGTCAGTTTTTTAGGGTGATAACTAGAAAAGAGAATTATCACTCAAAATCACGGACGCAAGGCATAAAAGTCGCGGTAAAATAGACAGTTAGGCTACAAGAAGACTCGGTCCTCTGCCTTCCCTAGTACTTCGTTCAGGCATAATGTATTACAAGCTGTAGGAGTGTCCGACTAGGGGATACACCAAGCAGAGGTGGTAAATCGCACCACATGTTTTGTGTAGATGATGACTGCTGCACACGGCCATTAACTGGCATCCAAATCTCATCTGTGGTTCCTGAAGCTAGGCTTTGTCTAGCGGTTGCAGTACCCGCCTCGATCAGCCACCTAAACCAGATGGCTGCATCCCGTAATGTGTGCGTCTCCACAACCAGTAGTCCTGCTCCACTTTTTATCTCTCCTCCCTTGCACTTCAAAAAGTAATGCGGAGGGCGATGCAGGAGCTGGCCCAGGCTAACTCGATGTCGGAAATTAATACAATAAAACGTTGCATAAAACGTTGCACACTTTGCCCATTCGTCTAGTCCCCTCCGAAAAATATCCTTTTTCGTACAGAGCGCGTGTCTATGTAATTTTATTAGGCACGATGTTTATAGATTTAGGCAATAATCTACATTACCCTAATTTTCATAAATTTTCTGTTAATAGCTGTCCTAGACTGAGCTCGCGCGTCTGTGCTTATTTTCCCTTCAAAGGAGAGTAGTTTGACATGAGGGGTTTGATCAAAAAAGCCCGCCGCGCATAGAATGACTTTTTTGTCTGGCATCAGCTTTGTAAAGCAGGTTGCAAACAAACGGGTTCTTTTTAGAAAAGTGAATGTTTTGTAGACTTTCAAGAGTCACCTTTGTAAATCTATGTAATTTGGGGCCCTAAAGCTCAATAGTAATGTCCACAGGCAGATCTTCGTTCAACTGTCCCCATGTTATACACACGCAACAGAAACCGACGACTATGCAACAATCACAGAGGCATATCTCTTATCAGAACTGTAAGGAAAACGTTTGTCCCTGCACTCCTCAACCGTCCTAAGAGGCACACGGAGAGGAGACTTCTTTCAGAATGCCAATGTAGATTTTGCAGGAACCGCGGAACCGTCGACATGATCATCGAAGTCCGCCAAGCGCAGAAGTGCTAAGAGATGGGGACCAACCTCTACACCACCCTCGTTGATTTAATGAGGGATTTTCCCACAGTCGACCTCGATGGGCGTTGGGAAATCATGCTGGAATTTGTACGTCCAAAGCAATTCACACAGATGGGCGTCGGCTTCACAATGGGTGATGACTCGCACCACACAAAGCGGAACAATCCCTAAGGCATCCTCGAGGACCAGTAGCGTAAGACAGGGCTGCGTATTTACTCCCATCTCATGCGGTCTCATGTTTTCTGCTTTGCCGATGGATACCTAACCTGAGGAGCGGCCGGAAATCGACATCAAAAACCGAACCAACGGAAAAATGTTCAACATTCGTCGCGTGAAAACATCTTCGCAGGCACCCAAGAGCAGCGTCCACGACCTATTATTCTCGGATGGCTGAAAACTAAATACTACAGCGGAACATTATGTGTTATGGCATGTGGACCCTTTCATCGCCGGTTGCTCTGGCTTTGAACTGGTTGTCGACACGGAAAAGAAGGTGGTCATGAACCTACCGACGTCCAACGGAGGGCATAAAGAACCCACACAAACGTCATTGGAACCCAAATTTTATCAGGGACATATTCACGTAACTCGGCAGTCTAACGTCAAGAAATGTCGTAATTAACGACGAAGTTGTCCA